AGCGTTCCCTGAGTGCCTTAACTTAGCGTTCCCTGAGTGCCTTAACTTAGCGTTCCCTGAGTGCCTCAACTTAGCGTTCCCTGAGTGCCTCAACTTAGCGTTCCCTGAGTGCCTTAACTTAGCGTTCCCTGAGTGCCTTAACTTAGCGTTCCCTGAGTGCCTTAACTTAGCGTTCCCTGAGTGCCTTAACTTAGCGTTCATTGAGTGCCCTAACTTAGAGTTTTAATAAAGTTTAACAAAGCGCTGACATCGTAAATATCTTCGGTATAAAAGGTAAGTTTTTTACGATCAAAAACACAAACCTTTTATTATTTTATTCATATTATTTTATTTATTTACTATTTTTATTCAAATTAAACCCATACCTTTGAATCCAATCATTTTTTATTCAACTTTTACCTCTATCTTTTAATCTAGATATTACTTGTCCGATGGTCATAGTACCGTTCTGAGAGAACGTGGTCACGTTATTGTATTTAATGTATTAGAATTAATAAATATTAATTCCATTAATGCAAACATATTATTGTGTCTTGCGATTAATTTTCTCACAGGTGTAAAAGTGCATACACTGTTAGAAAAATTACCGTTAACGTTATTACCGGCGTTTCAGTGGCCGGTCGGCACGTGAAAAGAAACACCGTGTCGCCGTTTTTATTCTATGGACTATGATTATTGTTGACCCAATGATCTAAGTAAAGTTGTAAGAAAGGTGTCAAGCTATGTGAAGAAGGGTTTTATACACACCTAACCCTAACTCTAACCCTAACCTAGCGAGGTTGGCGTTTTTTAGAATGTCCGGTAGTGTAGTTCATTTATTTTCGTGTCCGGTTAATAAGTACAAACTAATTGTAAGATACATAACCGGACTCGACTTTGTCCGGTTTTCTAACCTCTGTCCGGTAATGTTACCAATCTTGTCCGGTAATTGTTCGAAATTCATGTAGGGAAGGTGAAACATAAAAATAACTGTAACTTTTATTTACTGTATCTAACCCGTACTACTTCGGTTAGGTTAATTGCAATAAAGTTGCATTGATATGTTTCGAAAATGTTTTATTATCAATAAATGTTTATGAGTAAATCCCAATAACAGAACAATAAATAAGTAGAGATTTATAATGATTTTGGCCAATGTATCGGCTAATGCAGCGGCGCTACATTTTACTGTAGCGGTAGCGGTAGCGCCCGCTACATTTAGAGCATGTAGCGGTAGCGGTAGCGGCCGCTACATTTCAAATTAGCGTTGCCCAGCTCTGCCTCCAGAGTTTAAGAGGTACTTGGACAAGTGCTGTAGCGAGCCAGCCTTGGCCGCACTTTAAACGCTGTCTCTCTAACAGACCTCTCTAACAGACTGAGGAGAAAAAGTGTGCGTAGCTAGTATTCTCGGGAAGCAGCTGTTTGCGAGCAGGCAGCCTACTTTGGCCTGATTAACCACACTTTGTAATGTCTGTAAATATATGTATTTAATATCTGTATAGCGCCTGTCTTTGTAAACTTATATGCATTTCGTTTATAGACTTGTATCGTGACCGAGAATTTTCTACTATATTAAAATATACCTTGTGGCCTTTGAAAATTCAGATCTAGTTTAAGGCCCTGATTGAAAACCGAGAGGCTTCGAACAGGCTCGGCTCTTCCCTATGCGTTTCTTCACTAATTAGGATAGACTTTACTCCACTCGCAAATGAGATGGCGATATGGATTTGTCCATTCTTACCCAGCTATTTATTTATAAGCGTCGACCAGTAATATAAAATATGTAAACTTTGCATTAAAAGAGTTTTAATGAGAGGAAATTTCTAGAAACTTTGAATATTATTGTTCATCATGTCTGCGACTTTTACACTTTTTTCGAGATATAAACGGGTTGTAATTTTTATTGTCAATTGAATGGTATATTCGGCATTCCTTGATCAGCTTCCTTGTTATAGATATTTTCTACCAAAAAATATTTATGATCGAGTCTGCTGATACGCGGAGGGAAAATCCCGCATACTAGCTTCTCAAATGGAGACGTTGTGCAATGTTTGAGGGGAAAGAGACGTAAATTACTCAACTGTCAGTTCACAACGGTTGGCATGGTAAAGGCGAAGTCAATGAAGGGCGAAGAATAATACGTGGCCAGTGGTCGGCCTATCCAATTAGTTATAGCCGACCGTTGGCCATTCCTCGACCACCTGAAAGCGACCAGTTGCCACGAAGAAGGGTCTGGCTAGGATATCATGATATTACAAAGAGTACAAGCTCGAGGGTAGCGACTGGCCGAGGTTCGGGCAGATCAAGGATTTTACACGCGGGTCGCGAAAACCTCCCTCTCAGACTTCGCTGCATTTTGACTACAAGCCTTAAGTAATTCTCGTATATTAGCGCCCGCGGGCGGAGATCCAGTAAAGTCGTATAAGGAGTGTAGTTGTCCCGCTGCAATGCAATATTTCTGATCAGCCAATAGAGTACTAAAAAATTGGTGATGCCATTTGTGTGCACTTTTGCTAAGATTTTTACGCGAATGGGTATTAAAATGGTATTGTCTATTTTCATTAGAAAATAATAAGTTTTATTATCTATAGAACTAATTTAAAACGTTTATCGAATTACAAAGATAGTGACCAAGATATCAAGTGTCCAATTGAAGTATTCCCATAGTACATAGTGTAGTTTACAAAGAAAAAACAAGAACATAGAGAGCCTCTGAAAAGTTCAGTTATAACTCTTGGAATCGAAAATTCTCCAAAACTGTGCTGATAAGCCCTTTTTCAATACTACAATAATTCCAAGTATTAATCTTAAATAATAATCATAGTCTCGTGTCTCCCCAGGTCGGGAAGGTCAAGATGACCAAACTCCTTCCCCTGATTCTCGCCGGAATTTTGACCACGTTGCTCCATGAAGCCCAGGTCATTATAATTAACTTTTGTAAAATTAAGAGTATTAATTCAATTAGATCCTCCTGTGAATATGGTTAACATTAGACGTTTTTATACAGCTAATGTACAAAACATCTAACATTTCACTGCTTGTGAAATGTTAAGTTGACAAATCGTAAGTTGCTTATTGATCTGCGATTGCTAATGCTGGATGAATTAACCATTTTCCTGCCCACAGGCGAGCCTGCCTCCAGGCCCTGCTGTTGATGTGAGTAGAAACGACCATCACACGCGTCTAATCAAAATTAATTTTTTGAACATATTTTCTAGTTGAGATTTTATTAACATTTAAGCTATAATTCCAATTCATGAAATATAGGCTTTGCTGTGCCACCACAAGTTTGTTTGTGAGCAACTGTCTCAACTGTGTACTGTCACTAACATTAATATTCTGGTACATATTCACATTTTAATGATTACAGGTGCTTGTGACCCCCAAAGGCTCCATGGCATCGTGCAAGAAAACCAAAAGGTCGGTCGTGTTCCAGTCCATCAAGTCTAAGAAGGGGATCATGTATAACCGCGCATACACTCACCCGGAGATATTGAAATGCTTCGGAAGCTCCCAGCCGAGCGCGGTCACCTTCAGGGACTGCGTCAACGCTGCCGCCGTGGCCGGTGAGTTGGCTACTGCCTTTGGTTACCGCCGCAGAAGGTGCCATTTACCAAGTATTAATGGAATGCAATAATAATTGACCAATGCTTCTATGGAATAATATCTTTACTAACCGCCGCAACGTTTGCAGGACACTCCACTTTGTCCTTCGATGGTACCACCTGCTCCACCTACAACGCAACTGTCCCGAGTCATACATGTGCCGACCAGAAGGCAGCAGCGGCAAACTACATAGCCATCTACCAGGCCAACCCAACTCTGGTCAAGCCAAATTTCGGTGGGTGCGATGGAATAGTGAAATCCACCTTTGGTCGAGCCCAGTTTTGGTGGATGCGATGGATTAGCCCGTCCCACCTGTAATCGAGCCCACTTTCGGTGAGTACAATAGATTTATCCATCTCACCTCTGGTCGAGCCAATTTTCCTTGGGTGCGATGAATTAGTCCAACCCACCTCTGATCCAGGCCAGTTACGGTGGGTGATATAAATTCATGTTTCTGTGTGGGAGGGGTTCTGAGCATTGCAGTCGCTGGCCTCGCTGGTACGTTGTGTTTTTCTCCAGCCAACCCCGGGTGATCATGGATTGTGCCTAGTAACAATTTCAGTCTCATGAGTCTCCAGGGTGAACGACTCCTGCTCTTGTTATCTCCATAGCCAAGACGCAGAACAGCCTTAGTCCCGCTATGTAAAGGGATTTCTACCGTAACATGAACGCTTAAACTTAGTTTCTTGTTGGATGTAGTGCAGTGCACAGTGTCATCCCTCATTGTGATATTTTGACATCCTGAAGATTTCGCTCCTTCGCATGAAGATTCGCTTGACAACTTCTAATTGCCACACTGCGCAAACCGTGAAAGGGTTCCACAATTGGCAGCAGTAGTCAAAGAAATGGATCACAAGGGATTTAAAGAGCGTAATCACCAGTTCCGTTTATCTTGTTCTCAACATACACATGATCCACATTGCTTTTTGCCTGCTTCATGAAGTTTTTGCTCCCAAACGTCACCAAACGCGACATTAGTACTCTTACTTATCGCGCAGTCGTGAACCAACTACTTTTCCTCAATTTCTATGCCGTCTGGAGCCAAGTTGTAATGTTCTATTCCGACTCTTCAGCTACTTCGTTTTAGAGGTGCATTTCGCATTAGTTCAGTCATATATTGCAGACAGGTCTTCTTGCAAACTCTCGCATGTCACCTTGCCCACATTTGGTCCAGACCAATTAGGGTGGGTTCGGTTTATTGCTCTAACCGAAACTTAAACCTTAATTTCGAAGACTGGATACCAATGTAAAATATCCTATTCGTTTCTGATCAATTATTGGAAGGTATGAAGGGACTCTTCTAATTAAACGCATTTCTTCCTATTTTCAACAGGAAATTTCAAAGTGTTGACGGTGGCTGCGAACCTGAAGGCGAGTACGAATAACAACTTCGACGTGACGTGGACTTCAAACGATGGTGGCTGCAACTACCCCGGCTTCATCGTCAGCTTCTCCGGCCAGGAAAAGTACGTCGAAGACACTCCACCGGGAACGGAAATATTGAACGTCCCAGGGTGCAGCACAAACGTCACCGTCTCCTTCGGTCTCCCCACCGGAGAGAAGTTCGGTACCACCGCCCAGACGGTGGTGACTACCAAGCCAGGTACCACAAATGATGATAGATCCACTCAATCTGCTACCGTCAAATACTGGGAATTGGGTACTATGTAGCTTTGGTTCAGACAATTTTGCTCTGATTCGGACCAAGTAGTTTAGGTTCGGACTGTATAGCTTTGTTTGGACTATTTAGTTTAGGAACGGACTATGTTGCTCTGATTCAGACTATTTAGTTTAGTATCGGACAATGTTGCTCTGATTCGGACTATTAGTTTAGTATCGGACAATGTTGCTCTGATTCGGACTAGGTAGTTTTGTTTGGACTTTGTTGCTCTGATTCAGACTATGTAGGTTTGTTTTGGACTATGTACTTTAGGTTCGGACTATGTAGCTTTGTTTATGATTTTGTAGCTTTGGTTCGGACTTTGTAGTTTAGTTTCAGATCCTATGTATCTTTGTTTTGGACTACATAGTTTAGGTATGGACAATGTAGCTTTGTTCTGGACTATGTAGCTATATTTTGGGCTATGTAGTTGTGGGGAAGATTCATATCGGAATAACACGAGTATATTTAGTTCAACATGAAAACATAAAAATTAGACTTTTTTAAGTAAGGCAAAAGATTTTCCCATAATGTTTATATCTGATTTGATTCATTTGATTGAATGTATTCATATCATATGTACCCAGGGGCTCCAGCCCAGAAATATGAATGTGTCAAGTATTAGGATACTATTGTGTTTTGATACTTAATAATAATAATAGGAAATATAAGTGTCCTAATACCGACCCACTTTCTGTCCGTTGCACTGATACCATGGGTCAGGATGACCCACACAAGGCCAATATTACCACTAAGTTGTCTTCTATTGAGCAGCATCTCAGCGCAGATGGCCGTTCAATGTGGTGCCAGGATTCACAATGGAAGTCAACTTATACCCGAACAAAACGATCAGCGTATCTTACGACGTAAGGCTGTATATATATATCTATTTACCTATTCTTTCAATTACTTTGCTTTATGTTAATATTTTATTTATTTGTATACAAAAGGCAGTCTTGCAAGATAACTTTTTCATCCAACATAAGCTTAAGATCCAATACTTTAACTTCAACCTCAAAAGTGCTTGTACACGGGGACAGTAGTGGCTGCCACTACAACATGGGGACAATAGTGTCGGCCAGTACAACACGAGGACAGTAGTGGCTGCCACTACAACACAGGGACAGTAGTGTCGGCCAGTACAACACGGGGACAGTAGTGTCGGCCAGTACAACACGGGAACAGTAGTGGCGGCCTGTTCAACACGGACAGTAGTGGCGGCCTGTTCAACACGGGGACAGTAGTGGCGGCCAGTACAACACGGGGACAGTAGTGGCGGCCAGTACAACACGGGGACAGTAGTTACACCCACTGTCCACACCCACTGTCCACACCCACTGTCCACACCCACTGTCCACACCCACTGTCCACACCCACTGTCCACACCCACTGTCCACACCAACTGTCCACACCAACTGTCCACACCAACTGTCCACAGCCTCTGTCCACACCCACTTTCCACACCCACTGTCCACACCCACTTTTTACCACCTCCTTTTCTAACTCAGCAACCGTTGACCTTACAGGCTTCCCCTGGATGCGGTAGCTTCACCCAGTTCAGCATTGTGTTTAACATCCTCTACACGGACGGCCGCCGTAATCCGGAGCTCATCTTCCCCATATCGGAACCAAAAGGCACCATCAAGATCGGCACAGGGGATGTGAATGATATTTGCCTGGCTATCATGCTCGTTATCGAGTACACCCAGACGACGGACAGCAGAAATGACACGGATGACCATCAGTTCTTTTGTAAGAACCCTTAATTAGAGCATTATCATAGGTCCAACTAGACAGTATTCATCATTAATGAGAATTCTGTTAATCCAACTAGAAATGGAAGGCTGAAAAATTAAACTCTGGGTATTAATATATTCCACTTCCGTAGACTAGTATAATTCCAGGCATTTCAGGTACAATATTAGGTATGAAATATGTTAGTTATAGCGTTTGGCAGACAGTATATGCAAACATATACCACATTGCGTACAATATTTCGCTGGTAATCATACAAAATTATTCAAAAAAGTGGTACTAGTAGCCTGGGTATCGAAATTGCAACTTGGTAATAACAATTCCGCTTGGTTATACAATAATTCAAATAATTCCTTCAACAGACTCGCTCTACGACCCTCTCATAAAGGATGTCATTCTTTCACAGTACCTCTCTCCGAACTCACAAATCAAAGCCTGCATATAATGCATATAATTCATATAATTCCTTCAACAGACTCGCTCTACTACCCTCTCATAAAGGATGTCATTCTTTCACAGTACCTCTCTACGGACTCTTTGATGAAAATCTGTACTCCTACGAAGTGAATGGGTCCGATGTCGTCTTCCACTGGCCTACTAACCTGACAGCTTACGACGTCTGTGGCGTCCTCCCCGGTACCACACTGGCAATCAAGAAATCGTTCGGTGGTGGCAACACTTTCACGGCGCCTATAGCTGCTGGCAGCATCACACTCACCAACCTGGCATCTTCGCTATCAACCCTTGTCACTGTGATGGATGCTAGCTTGAACATCGCTCTGGCACAAGTCTACGTAAGTTCAACGAGTCCACAGGGCATCTCCGTTTCCTCGCTCAAAATTCAAGTAACAGCAAGGAATAGGGAAAAATAAAATGTATAATGCAGTTAGACATATAGGTAGATCTGTGACAGGTTGATCAAGGGTAGCCTTTTTTGTCGTTTCATTCGTTTTGATTTTGTTGGTGGCTAAATGGCGGTTTCCTCTTCCCGATGGACAGCAGATTTAATGATGTGCCTATTGTCACTCTACTGTTATTATTCTAACTTCCTTCCCCATATACCTTCTTTCCGACAATATAGGTTAGCGGAAAGCCCTTCTGACAACACATGTTAAAGTCCAGTCTTTCCTACAACACGTTCAAAACTTTTAAACCCGAGAAGTAATCAAGTTTTCCTAATGATTTGGCGATTACTGTAAACACCTTAGTTATTTCCGCATCTTTCTCATCACAAATACCTGTGTTCTTGGTCTTCCAATGCAATAGTACCTGAATACAAATGTACTCATTCGTAATACAGTTTTGATGTCCCAAGTTGGTCACATTATGATTGTTGATTTATTGGTGCGTTTACAGATGACTCGACCTGTATAAGGCGGTTCACTGCACTGGTTCGACAATGGTTCCCTGCAGCGGTGCATCACGAACCGCTCCCAATGGGACCCTGCATGCATGCCATGCCTATAACAGTTTCAAATCAGAAACCGTAGGCAGAAGTGAACCAGCCGGGTTGAATAAATATTATTGGTGCAGAAGCGATGTTTTATTGAAAATTATAGACGGAGATTAAAAAAGTTGTCCATAGGTGGTTCGGTGTCATGCCCACACCTATGTGGTAATATGCTGCCACCTCACCGAAGCAGTGGTGGTATACGTCCTGCCTATATGATCCTCCAATATCCTGCCGAGAACAACTCTACCCTGGACACCATTTTTCTACCAATATTTGCAACATTTTTCTAACAAATGCGCAGTCATGTGCCATGAATGACGGATGTAATTATCCTCCATTAAGAGGAAATTCCTAGAAACACGCCTACGCAACTTATTCTAGATTATCCGCTCAATCCTGGAAGTGAAGCAGTGATCTGAATGCGATGGCGTGGCCGGAACAGGAGGCGCAGCCGTAGTAGGCTTCAGATGTATCCATTTAATTAGCCCTGGAGCCAACGTCCAACCTCAGCAAGCAACAACTACACTCAGTTTCAGAGCTAAAAAAACAGACTAAGAACACCGTAATCCATGTTATAATGCACTGTTTAACGCCAATATTTAGACTAATGTGCATTATCTACAGCTTCAATCAATATTTACGCACGCTCGCTCATAAGCAGACAGTTTCTACTTTATACAGCCGGTCTAGCCTCATCTGGCCTAACCTACTCAAATTACCTTGCCTCTCCATTCTCTTACAGCCAATGAGCGGCGTCGTCTGCTCACTTGCCCCGCCTCTTTGCCATACAGCAACCAATGAGGTTAATTAGGTCCGTTCAGGTTGGTTTTAGAAGGAGTGTAACGTGAGTAGGTTAGGCCAGAAGCGGTTAGGCCGGAGTAGGAGGAGGCTAGTTGCAAAACCGTACGCTTGTGAGCGAGCATGCTTAAGTGTTGGCTGCGTACTACTACTTTATCGCTGCAAGCACTAAATTTCATAGGGTACTCTGCCCTCTACACGGAAAAAAATATGAGAGATTTTGTCCGAATAGCAATGTCCTTTATACGCTAGTGTGATTGGAAAAGTGGTACGTGCAGAAACCGTGCCACTATTTTGACAACATGAACCACTTATTTTGTGAGTGTAACCTGCTTACCTACGGAAAGTAATAAGAAATTGATTGTTGATTTGGGGTGGCCTCTAGCATTCACCTGAAACTGAAGCCGGGGATGAAATTGTAGCCATTGCCTGGAACTGCATCAGTAGCATGAAACTGCACCCGTGACCTGAAACTGAAGCCGCGGCCCGAAACTGTAGCAGTAGCATGAAACTGAAACCATGACCTGAAACTGAAGTCGTGGCTTAAAAATGAAGCCGCAGTCCGAAACTGAGTCCGTGGCCTGAAACTGAGGTGGTGGCCTTAAACTGCAGCCTAAGTTCAAGAGTTCAGACGAGGCCCAATATTCATGTACAAGAAACAATACCTCATTCATAAAAATATATTACAGGGAAATCATAAGCTTTTTATGCTTTCGTATATTCATATATCGTATATGCCATAACCTAGCTGAACACAACATATAACATATCCGAATAAAATATCACACATGCCTGAAAAAAAATCTAAATAAAATATGGTATATGCCTGGAGAAAATCTCAATAAACTATCTTGTTGGCCTGGAATGAATCCCAAGAAAATAAAATAAGTACTTCTAACGAATTTGAATAAGATATAATATATAATTGAAAAAATTCTATAAAATATCGTAAATGCCTGGATGACGGGTATGCCCTCACGCACTACGCATGGTTGAACTATACAGTATAAGGTTGACCCACGAGAAGTTCCGTCTTTCAGTTCAGCTTTCTTGTTACGTCACGTAGATCGAGAAACGTAAACAATCCCGTCAATCCTATGACGGATTGGTTGACTGATTTGATCACATTTCGGTGAATGGTTAATGCTCGTGACGTCACTTAGATCAGTGACGTCACGGGCGAGCATCAAGCTACATCCGCAAAAATAAGCATCTCACGGGTCAACCTTATACTAGTTCAACCATGCGCACTACGTGCCACATACTATCGCATCCTGACGGGCACAGGAAGCGGTAACTTGTGCTGCCGAAACATTGCAGCGCTCTGATAGGCCGCCTCACTCGCACTTCTGATTGGCTGCCTCACTTCCACCTTTGACTGGTTCATGCAGGACGCATTCTTCCACTCCACTAAAGCACCTTCCACACAGGGCGGCAAATACCGCCAGCGTCAAGAAAACGCGACGGTATTTACCGCGTAATCATTCGCACGAGGCGGTTTTTAACGCTGGAATCTATCAGTGTCACAGTGCTGTTTTATGCACGGTTAGTCTATCTTTATATAACAATATTTATGTTTATGTAACTATACATCTTTATGGAAATATATATAATTTCTTAAATATATCTAGCATGAAATATGTCTTTATCACTTTATGTAAACCTATTAACATATGCCTTTATGTTTATGTAACAATATTAGTCTATAATCTATCAGTCTTGCAGTGCTGTTTATTATGCACATTAAATACGGCCCCACTGTCTGCACCACACTAGCTAGTGGAGTTAAAAACCGCCTAGTGTGAAAGATTACATTGAATACCATAGCAAGCTAAACTGTTGCGGCATTATGAATTAATAATGCCGGGAGGAGGAAAAAATCTTTGTACTCGATTTTACTTTACTTTGTACTTTACTCGAAAAAATCTTTGTACTCTACCGCCACAGTTTTAGCCGTACACACACGGTTGTCAGGCGTCAAATTCTACGCCGCGTTAAAATCCGTCGTGTGTGAATAGCAGTGCACATTTTGTATGTCCGCTGAGTTTCGGCGTGAAATACCGTTGCACGCTGGCCGTAATTGCCGCCCTGTGTGAAAGGGGCCTTATTAGGGTTGAGAGTTCGTTAGTTAATCAGCCAATCATTGACGGCCTTTCCAGCAAAATCCACCAATCACAGACAATAAAATTGTGCGTAAGTACTTACGCACACTTAGCGAGTTTGAAAGTTTGCTGGGGGCCACGATTTTAATGGCTTCCCTGCTGAGGCTAAAAAGACCTTAATTCATGGACAAGTTTTGCCTTTTGAGCCTTTCGGCTGATGACGCAATAGACTCAAAAATATAAAAGCTGATTTATTGGATGAAGGGACAGTATTAGTTCATCGGGATCTGAGTAGTATTGGTCTAAGTTAGGCAACACGCGAATACTTTACTAAGCGCCTGAAAAAATCGGCCTCTTCCGACCACCCCTCGAACTGATCCATGTATGAGTCTTAATTATGCATTCTTTAGTATCTGTTTCTCCAAGAACAATTTTGGCAAAAAGGAGCTATGATGAATGTGTGCTGTGGATTAATACTCGAAATTATATTTCTAAATAAATTAGTGCCCCGGTTATTTGACGTGTCGGGTAAATTTACGGCCGGCCTTGCGGCCAGTCTCGGCCGCATTGTCATGAAATTTTGTCATGCGCAAAAATGGTCATGAGCTAAACATTACCGATAGAATGTTAGGTCCGTATACATATACGAAGTTTCGTTCAAATCTGTTCAGTTTAGAAGAAATTCTATGCTCACTGCGAATTTAAGCACGTATTGCTGTTTAAATCACGAATGAGGTAAAAGTGAAAAAAGAAACTGGCAAACGAAGGCAAAATCTAAAAAATGGTTACGAGCTAATCATCACCGTTGGGAGGTTAGGTTTCTATATTCAAAATTCCGTTAAAATAGGTACAGTAGTTTAGAATAAATGTCATGCTCACTGCAAATTTCGGAACGTATCGTTAAATAACTCATGAATTAAGGTGAAATTCCAAAAAAATTTCACGAGCAAGTTTCATCGAGCTAAGTTTATTGCTTTTGGAGATATTCTTTGCTCACTGAATTTGGGGAGACCGGCCGCGAGTCCGGTCGTAAATTTGTCCGATATGTGGTTATATGACATTCATGTGCAGTAAAAGACAATTAATTTTAGAAGTTCTGAATAAATCATTCGACGTTTCTCGTAAGAATTTATATTCTAAATTATTATTTAATGAACAAAATATGTAGACTGTAATTTGTTTCATGACAAATTGCATGAACAATTGCCGGATGAACAATTTGTTTCATGACAAATCATCCGGCAGACTGGAGGTAACTCTGACCCGGATTCTAGTTAGTAAACAAAAACACGCGATGGACCTCGTGACTCGTGAGTTTATTTGCGTTGAAACAATAATAAATTTTAATATATATTTGACTAATTTTACTGAATATGAATCATAACTATTGGAACTCTAAAATTTTATTAAATTAGGACTTTTTTATTCTCCTCGCTAAATGTTTTTGAATGATCTATCAACTTGCGACTGGCCGACTGCGAGCTACGACTCGCCGGACTCCGTAGCTAGCTACCAAGGTCCAAGTCTAAATAGTGGAGACTGGAAATTTGGAAACCCTTGCAAAATTTCCTGGAAATTGTCATCAAAAATTATAATTGCATGGGGGGTTTTCTGAGGTCATAAATTAGAATGTGATGCTTTGGTCAAATTTTTTACTAAAAATATTAGGAATGTAAATGTTCAATGTGCCAACCTTTGGTAGCCTAGGAGTAGGACCTAGGTACTAGGTAGGCCTATGTCATATCACACATGTGTACAAAAAAAAATTTCCTTTGATTGTAATGAAAATTATACCACTGAAAAGAGAAAAAAATTTAGAAAAATGTCATATAACTGATATAACTTTATAAGTATGAGTAAAGTAGGTCGAAAAATGAAAAAGATATGAATTTTCTACCTTTTTTCAATTTCACGCCAAAAATGGACCAACTTCGGTCACTTTTTTTGGAAAAACTATCATTTATAGGTTTCCTATGAGCCAATTTCAAAGTTTTTAGTACCATTAGAAAGCTCTTAGTTTCATGGTCTTGGCATCATAATTGAGCTTAAAAATATGAAATTAAATAGAACACACAAATAAAATTTACTAGTAAAAGTAATACTATTAATATTCATTAATATTATTTCTTAACTAATTAGGTATAATAAATATAAGTGAATATTGATATTAATAATAA